ACAATTTTTTTTTCTTTCTTTTTCTCTTTATTCTGTTGTAGCTTTATTTCTCAAAAAAAAGGTCCGTATATAACAAATACAATGAGAAAAATTCAGAACTCTTTTGTATTCTAGACGCACATTGAATATATTTAAACATACAAAAACAGTTCAGTTGTGTGTGTGTGTGTGGTGTGTGTCTACTGAATGCACTGTTTGTTGCCCCCGGAAAAGAATTCTGTTTTCACTTATTTTATTTTTCATTATGGACATGTTTTCATTTTATACACGTAAATATTAATAAATCTCGACTTGAATCACACACATCATAGTCACAACAGAGTAATAACAACAACAACAACAACAAAACAACAACATGTACATTATATCAAAATGTTCAGATTATAAAAAATAAAATCCAAGCTAAAACGCTGATTCCTACAATTTCATTGCTAACATTCTGACTCATTCTATTATGAAAAAAAATTTTCATATTATAATAGATAATAAACAAAAAAACAACAAACAACAACTACAATAATAACAATAAACACGTTGAAATATGAATGAATTGAAATTTTGCAGACAACAACGACGAAAAAAAAACATTTCAATTTTGTTCAGATTTTCGTTATTTGTTTGTAGAAAATATTATCATTATTCAAAATTGAATTTTTTTTGTTGTTCATTCTTGATATCAGAAAAAAATTTCGAAACAATACAAACACATTGAGACGAATGTTCCATAGAGAATTTCGATATCATAAATATGATTGCCAAGGATATATTGAAAAGAATCGATTTCCATTGAAATTGGATCGGTTGGTATCCAGTATTGAATAATTGTTAGTTTGTGTGTGTGTGTGTGTGTGTCTGGGAGGATGGATGGACAATAAAATATTATCATATTAATGATGATGATAGACTTGGCTTGGCCAAGATTCCGCTTGACCGGTTTCAATTTTTTTTTTCACCAGCACACACACACACACACACACACCAAAAGAAAAAAAATCAATCGTTTCCATATATTTGCTCCCTGCTTTTATTCGAAAAAAAAAAACGGTAATAGGCTTGGCATTTGGTATGATAATCATTTTTCAATTTTATTCTGTTTTGCATTGCAGCACCATATATCGGATTTCGATCAACGTAAAATTCTTTATTGACTAACAAAATGAAATAAAATCAATTTTAAATTCAATAAAATATGCAATAGAAAAAAAAATTGTCTAAATATTCATCATTTGAAAGTAATGATGTAGTGATGATTATTGAAATGATTTGATGATGATTTTATTGGAACAACTAAAAATATGTTACCAATATGGCAAAAAATTGAACGTTTAGATCTATTAGTATAGGATACAGACACATTAGGATTTTTGTGTATTTTATTTCTACTACAGAAAAAAAATCGGACAATGAGAAAATAATCTTTATATTTCTGGAACAATTCTGTGAATTATAACATTTTATTTTTGTTCTACAAAAAAAATGTATTATTATTATCGCATGATATGATCAAAAATCAGTCCATATAAGAATTGAACAAACATTATCTGTTTGATTTCTTTTTTTCCGTCTGTATGAGTGTTGGAGAAAAACATCGAATCATTTTATTTTTGGAATCAAAATCAAATTTAAATGGTATCGTTTCAAACTTATGGATCTTGATTATTTTTTTTTTGTCAAACAACTATCGTTTTGATTCACATTGTTGATTTCGATTTTAGATTTGTCACACACACACACACAATTCGAATCGTTTAATCATCTTTTTTTTCATCATTTTTACGTTTATTTTTTTATCGTTGAAAAATGGTACGAGAAAAAGATATTGACATTATGATTACGAAATCATAGCCAAACAAAACAAAACAAAACAAAAAAGAATCGAATAGAATCTAATTCGCCAAACATTTACAATCAGAATAGTGTATAGAATGTTGGAAAAAAAGACTAAAAGTTTGATATGGGTATTATAATATAGCACACATCATTGTGATGAGACTTTGTTTCTAATGTTTCTATTTTGTGAATGAACAAATGTTGTTACTTGCCATTGATAAATAAAGAAAGAACAATCAGATGAACATGAGTAAATGAACATTGGCTGAAAACGAGCATTTTTTATTTTGAACTTTTTTTTTGCGACAAACTGAATTCTGATGATGCTGATGATAGTATAGTCGTATTTATCTTTTACACATTATTTACAAACATCTAGAGAAAAAGAGCTTCGTTGACAACAACAACAACAACAACAATAATGAATGATGATGATGATGATGATAATGATAATGGAGATTCAATTGTTGCTGTTTAAAAAACAAATTCTAGCACGGTAATGTACAAACTAAGTGAGAAAAGGGAAAAATATTAAAGGAGAAAAAAACAATTTTCCAAAAAACAGAAAAATACTACAATAAAATATTGTCAGACATTTCTGTACCCAACAAAATAAATGGATTTGAAATACAGTAATAGGAAAAAATAATCGAAATTCTTTAAACTGAAATTCTCATTCTTTTGTGCAATTATATGATCATTTCATTCCTGTCCATCAAATACCTTTTGTTTTTATTTTTATTTTTCAAAAAGTGAAGCAAAAAAAAAAAATGAAAACTTTCAAGAAGAAAAATGTACAAAACTCAATTAACAATTGCGTGTGTGTGTGTGTGTTTTTTTTTTTATTCTCTCAGATGCCATCGACAATCGCCTTATTTTATTATTCTTTGTTTCTCTTTTCAAACTATGGAATTTACACTCAAGTTTTGATGATAACTAATTTGAACGAAATTCTATTTGTTCTATTTGTGGATAATAAATGTTGAGGTGTAACTACGAAAACAACGATGAAATAATTTACAAACGAGCACTATATATTAGTAATATAGCAAATTAAAAACACCAGATGAACCATAAATGGATGAAACCAGAGAGAAAAAAAAACATAATGGAATCATCATATATACACCAGATTAATTGAGAAATGCAGAACAAAAAAAAGTTTCACTAGGATTTTCATATGATGATATGTGCACATCTTCTGTTTCTTTCTATCACTCTAAATAGACGATAAACTTTTTCCTCTCTATACTGCCATCACTTCCGAATAAAGTAGAATTTTCATCCAATTCATCTTGGTAACCAAAAGATCGAGAACAAAACAAAAAAAAAAATTCTTAAAATGAACAACTGAAGAGACAAACAAGACTTTTTTTCACTCCATTTTGGCTGTTTCAAAGAAAAAAGTTGCCAGAAAAAAAAATTTCAAACAATCGGGCACCAAACAACATTGATGCGATGGCAACAACAACAAACAACTATGATATCATCAACTATTTTTCCTCTAGGCCGTTTTTTTTACTGGATTATTCTAATAAATGAAACAAAAATTGCAAGTCTCATGAAGAATTTTTTTTATTTAGTTTATTTTAGAATTTTGGAAAAAAAAAATGGTTACATTTCATTCTATTATATTCGTGAATCTGAAATCATTATTGTCATCACCACCATCATCATCATCATCATCATTATTATTTTGAATTCAAAAAAAAAGTTGAAAAAATAAAGAAATGACAATATCCTTCGGGAATACTGTGTTTGTTTGGTTGAAAAAAAAAATGGTTTCCATTGAATTTTATATCAAAATATTATAAAATTGGAAATCCGGCCTGATTTGTATGTGTATATTCTAATCATTATCCAACTGATTAGGTGTTTGTGTGCATGTAAGACAATAATTTGCCATTATTAAATTTCTAACAAATACAATGTTGTCATATGAATCTCTCATTGGCATTCTATTTGGCACAAAATCAAAATCAAATTAAATAAATGAAACCATTTATTTACCTTGGTTGATAATTCTAATATTCTATTATAGAAATGGTGAATTGGTAACAAAAAAAAAAAATAGCAAAGAAAATGAAAGATGAGAATAACAACAACAAAAAAAAAATTCCGTGACTTTTACTTCGTGACTTATTTGTTGTGTTAGTATTATTATTCACTTCAATTCAATTCGATTCATTTAGTTATTTATTCTTAGAGAATTAACAAAGTTAAATTTTTGTTAATAGACATGCTAAATGAATGAAAATGTAGAGCCAAACACACAGTTGTTACTCACACACACACACACACACAAAAGGTATACAACAATAATAATGGAAATAACGAAAACTTAGTTACAATGATGCTAGAAAATGGAAACAGAATGTGTCGATCCATCATGAAGATCCACAAACATTCATTCATTCATTCATTCATTCAACAAACATAATGAATATCCTCAATACAACGGTTTTAGAGAACCTTAGAGAATTGAAAGTGAAAAAGAAAAATCTCAGCATCAGAAAAAAAAGGAATATGAGATGTATACATGTATTGATGAACCAGAAGCAAAATATTTTCCCATTGGAGAATTGACAAATAATTAGATTGACTTGAAGAAGCCGATGGCCATGAAATCATATACTGTTTTTTCCGTGTTTGTTACACATTTTCAAGCAAACTATCAGGTTTTTTTTTTTTTTTTTCTCGTTTTAATTTTATTTATTATTCTATAATCAATCAGTCATAGACACCAATATTGAACGAGTAAATCTTGGATCAAAAACATAGAAAAAGAGAAAACTTGAAGTACATTTTTAATTAGAGTGAATTGATGTATATTGGCAACTAACGAAAGAAAAAAAAATACACACAGAATAAATGAAAAGGTAGAGTAAAATTTGACGCCCGAATTCATCACGCACAGACACGCAATGTAATTTTGTTTTTGTTTTGTTTTTTCATTAAAAAAGAAAAACAAAATCGAATTTCATTGGGAATTTCATTTCACATCTATAGAACACGAAAGGAAACAAAATCTAATCTTTAGTACATTAGTGAGAATGGAAAAAAATAAGAATCCATCATTTTTTTAAGAGAAAATTTTTTTTTAATCAACAAAATTTTATTAAAAAAGAGTGAAAAGTAAGTAGTGCAAAAAAAAACTTGATGAATCTTACCCCAATAACCAGACGAGTACTGAGGCCAAGTATTCGATCTTGTGGCCATATTAACATGAGTAATACAGCCGAAACTGTACCGGTGAATATAACACATGAACTACATACTAATAATGTTGTTTCATAGATTAATTTTGGAGCCATTTTTTTTTGATGTTGAGAATTTCGTTTTTTTTCGTATTCAATTGAAATTCAGCATCATCAGTGGTCAAAATTGAAGAAAAACTTGAATAAAGAATGATGGAAAAAAAAGCACACTGCAAATTCAGGCAAAAACTTTTAACAACCACAAAAGATCATTAAACGATGATGACGACGATGAACAATGATTGTTGGATTTGAAATGAATTGTCTTGCATTCATTTCTGTTGGTGACAAACAAATGATTCTTTGGTCGTGATTTCTTTAGATGTATGTTATTGTTGTTGTCAGAACAATGCTGAACATATACACACACCAGCACAAATAACAAGCGAATGAATGAAAAGTCATGTAAAGAATGAACAAATTGTAAAAAAAGCAACAGAAAAAATAAGAAATAAAACCAGAAAAAAATAGTCAAATTACACAAAAATCACACACACACACACACACACACATATAGGAGAGACAAATGAGAAGAATGGCTTTAGATTTCAAAGATTCGATTGCCGTTGTTGTATAGGACCCAGCATGTCCATTCAAACATATGATAATGATGTTAGTGGCTAAAAGTTGAAGAATGTCCAAGATTATAATGTCTATCTAAACCGTGATGATGATCCAATGATCCATTCATTTATTCATTCAACAACAACAAAAAAAACATTTGTCATTGATGATGATTCAACTGTTGTGTGTCGGTCAACTGTTTTTCTTCTATTGCCATTGTTTTTTTTCCAATGGTGGATTCTCAAACAAAATGATCAATGATGAAAAAAGGATGTTGGATGAATAAAAATCATCGAAGTGAAGAGAAAAAATGATAACTAACTTTCAATACATTATTGTATGCTTTTTTTCAACCGCTTTTGATTGAATTGAAGAAAAATTTCTGGAACAGAAGCAATGATGATGATGATGATGATGATGATGGCCGATTCTCAACTGAATGGCTGACTGGTTGACTAAGTTAAATGTTCTATCCCGTGCTTGTATGGCCGGTTTGTAGGACCATCTAGGGTAGATGCAACATTGTGAATCAACGTCTATGAAGCATTCAATGAAAAAAGAGATGCCGGATAAGTTTACTCCGTGTGTGTGTGTGTGTGTGTTCTGAACAGACGAATTGCAATGTGAAGAAATGAAAACAAAAACGATTGTGGCAGTGGTAATGTTCCAGGATTCTTGAATGCATGGAATTTTGTCATTACATTATTTGCGGTAGTCGTCAAATACCATTATTTTTTTTAGGAAGATGGATTTGTTCCACAATTTTGATCCGACGTAAAGAAAACTTGAAATAACGGCCGATAGAATTAGAAATGAAAAAAAAAACCTAGACGAATTCAAACAAACATCGAAGATCGAAAAATAAATGAAAAAAATCATACGAATGATGAAATTAGATAAAATAGTTTTCAGTGTTTAGTGGCAATTCATTTTTTCCTGACAAAATAAAATGTTCAACAAACTAAATTGACAACAATAGTGACGAAGACAACAACAACAACAACAACAACAACAATAAAACTGAATCACAATTTTTTTGGATCAAAATGACCAACGAATATAAAAAAAAACTTTGATAAAATTGAATTTAAACTTCTTTTCAATATAGTAGTGTGTTTTGTTTGTCTAAATACTAAGAAATTAGATTTCAACGCACGAAAGTCAAGCAAAACAAAACAAAAACTTCTTTTATCATTAATTCAAAACTTTACCAAAAAAAAAAAAAAACAGATTTTCAATTTTGAATGGCATCGTGGAATATTGTTCATGAATGGCGTCTAAAAAAACCAAATTTAGAATTGAACACAATCATAGCATATTATTATCAGAATATCACCAGGAGGAAAAATCCAAACAGTCTGCGAAAATTCTTCATTACCAGCCAACATCAATCGATTAAGAAGATGAAAAAAGAAAAAGTTAAAAGTAATTTGTTTGTATTTTCACTTATATAATAACAAATTTTTGCATAATAATGAACATCACAACAATTGGTATGAATGAAGAAAATCCAAGAATCAAAATTAACAAAATAATAAAATTAGATTAGATTTGAGTGTGAGTGTGAACGACATTTGTAACGGATGTGGTGTTGGTGAGGGCAGAACAATATACATATATATATTCAGTAAAGAGAAAACGAAAATTTTTTTTTAAATTTTAAATTAAAAAAAAAGAAAATTTGCCACTTTATATTTTCAATTTTCGTACTTTCGTACTTATTTTTCTTTCTTTCGTTTTTTTTTGTTTTTTCACTTTTGACAGAATGGAACAATACAAAGTGTGTGTGTGTGTATGTGCTGCTTTTGGCAGGCAGATGATGGTTTTTTTTTTTTTTGTTTGGAACAAATTAAGTGTATACCCATCGACTTCTGCTGTGTTCACCATTATATTATACTTACGTTTAAAACTTATTATTGTTTTCAAAGAAAAAAAAAAAACTTGGCGAAATAAATTTTTACACCGGAACAGCGGTATATGATGATGATAATGATGATGATTCCTAGCAGAATTTTTTTTTCTTCATGTTTTTTTGTTTAGTTTAAAGTAATCGACGAGTAAGTTGATTCGATTCACAAAAGATCCATTAATATAACGAAATTATTTTTCGTTGAAATTGAAAAATTCGTCATGTGTTTCAGAATTTTTTTTTTAAAGAACTTTACACTTTTTTCTTATTCCTGATCACATGTTTTGTTTTTGTCATTTTTGCTGTTTAGTTTGGATTTAGAATGGAATCGATTATATTTAAAAATCATGAAAAAATTTCTGTTTGGCTAATTGCCATATATTCTTCAATGATGATGATGATGATGATGATGATAATCATGACAATGAAAACGATAACGATCATGATTGTTTGCACTTTTGTTGTTGTTATTGTTAACCATCATCATAATTATCTTCACTGTCTTGTAGGCTGAACCCAGCTGAAACCAAAAAAAAGTAAAAAATCACTTATTTCTGTCTAGATTAATGGAATGAAGAATGACCATCAACGATTATGATGATGAAAATGGTATTTGCCATAATGGTTTGTTGATTTACAAAAAAAATTTTTGTGGTTTTATACTTTTTTTGGTTTTCGATATGATATTCGTTTCGTTTACGTTAATATCATCACTGTGTGATGGATCCAAATCATTATAATAATCATCATCATGGGAATGACAAAACATCATTCGTTTTCTGACATGATTATTTTGAAAAAGAAAAACAACTACTATTGATAATTCTGTTTCTGTCATTTGTCACAGTGAAATGTGAAAGCGAAGAATGAAAAATTCAAAGCAACAACAGTATTGTTGTTGTTGTTGTTGCTGTTTTGTCAATAAATAGCCATTGGCTTGATGAAAACGGTATTACTTTTTACAACTAAACCAAAATGACCAACAACCAAAACAAAACAAGAGAAAACATTAATGTAACACTGCACAAAGACTTTTATCGTTTTTCTTCCTTTTTTCAGCATTTGTTTCAGTTTTTTTTTCTTGTACAATTCTTCCAACAAAACAATACTTTGAATCTTAAGAGTTTGGAAAAAAAGAAATCATTGTGAAACATTCTCTTGTCGTTTTTGTAAAAATGTCAGATAAAAACAAAAAAATTCAAAGTTCAAATTGTTGTTGTTGTTACAGTTTTCTTCAAAGTATCATCATTACTATCATCATTTTCATTAAATTCTTGAAGCTCTGTCATTTTCTTCAATGATGATCTGATTTTTCCATTGACATTCATTGTTTTAGAATGGTTCTATTTTCTTCATTTTCCATCACAATATGTTATTGAGGATGAAAAAAAAGAATCTGAAAAGCTTTGAAAACAAGCAAGTTAATTTACGATATATACGATATATATAAATGTGTGTTTAACACGAATATGTTGTTTTGTTCCATAGTGTAAATGTTCTTTTTTTTCCAGAAATAAAATGTTCCCTGAAAAAATGTCTGAAACAATTTTAGCTCCGTTTTTTTTATTCACTATAGCTATATTTGATTGATTTGATCATTCATTCTTTCATGGTTTTTGGGTGGACATCAATTTTGGAAATTTTCTATGAAAAATTTTCATTACAAAGTAATTTCCTTTCTTTATTGACTGATTCACTCTTCATTAAATTCTATCCATGAAATCAAACAAACTATTGTGCTTTTATCCAATAAAATTATAGCAAATGAACCAAAAAAAAAGAAGACGAATAATGAGAAAAGAAGAAAAAAAACCCAATCAAGTGGTAAATCTTTTTTTTTTTTTTTGGAATTGATTCTTTTCATTCATTCAAAAACTGTTAAATTTCCGTCCACTAAATTTCATTTTCATTTTTTTATTATTATTATTACCTGATTTGGCCACACTTATTCATCATCATAATCATCATGGTCATATTTGTCATCAAGTTTCTATAATATTATTCGAATGAAAAGAAAAACAAAAATGTTTTCATTCAATATTGAATTTATAATAATAAACATAAATAAATTGAATGGACATTTTAAACGGAAATGTATATGTATTCTGGCTATAAATACGAAAAAAAAGTCATTTATTTTTTTTTGTAAATAGAATTTTTATTTTTTCATTTCTTCATTTCTCTTCACGGACATTACTTTCCATTTTTTTTCTTGTTCTACAATTCAAACATTCACATGATGATGATGATCTCGAAATCAAAAAAAAAAAAAAAAAGAAGAAAATGAAATAAAAAAGAATGAATTTGAAATTGTAAGAAAAAAATTCTTCTTGTATACCAATCATCATCATTTTTGCTCAAGTTGTACCATTAGTTTAAACAAGTAATGATGATAATGAAACAAATGAATGAATGAAAATGGTAAAATGGTGAAAAGGAATAAAAGGCTATTTCACATTCAAGCATCAGTGGAAATCAGTGGAAAAAAAATTCGTTTCATTGGAAATTAAATCAATTTTTTCGTGTTCATTTTTTCAACATTAGCAGCATAAATGATGTTTTGAATTCAATTTCAAATGGATCAAAACGAAATATTTTCTGTGTTGGATTGTTTTTTTTTTGGGCATCGATTTTGTTGGAGCCAATTAAGAATTTTTTTCTTCTCATTTCAATGATGTAATTGCGTGAATACATGATATTCTTCAATTCTTTTTTCCATTCTTCATTTTCGAATTCAATTTGATTCTTTTTTTTTGTTTTGCTTTTCACTCATTCATTTGCATTTATTGGTGAATGTTTTTTTTTTGTTCACTGCTCGAGAATTCGAAATACCGTGACGTGAAAATAATGTAGGTTTCAATGGGAAAAACGAAAAGATGGGTAAATACAGAGACTATCTATTTCTTCTTGTTTCTTCTTATTTCATTTGAAATTTGATATTCTTCCATGTTTTCATGTATAATTTGATAATGGTATCACTTACAATGGGAACCAGGAATTCATTGTGTTTGAAAAATTGAATGGTAATAAAATTCTATATTTTGAATGGGATTTTTTTTGTTTGTTTGTTTCGGTCATCATACAAAGATATATATCACCATTATGAATATTCGATGATTATCGATTGTAACCATTGTATCACGCAATTAAAACCAATTGATTCGTGAATGTTTTTTTTATGAAAATCAAAAAAAAAAAAAAATAGATGGTAATTATTATTAATTGACAATAATAATTTAAAACATACCAATACGCCCAAATGAAAATCATCGAAAATAACCAAAACTTGGAACCATAGAAATCGAAATTCATGTTTGCATGGAATACAAAAAAGTTTTTCCATTTCTTTCTTTGAAAAAAAGAAACAAATTCTATCACCTGAACAACAAAAAAAAAGAATTCGACTCAGCTACGACATCTGTTGTCGAAAAAAGATAAATATTCTAGCGATTTTTTATATATGAACCAAATCTTCTGTAATTGAAAATTGAAAAACAAGTTTATTTTTTTGTGCATCTTCATCCCAATAATCATTGCCGTCAAAGATGAAAAAAAATTATTCATTTTAATCAATTTAATTTTTTTTCAACTTAAAGATAATCAAGATTAAATGCAGTGATTATGATGATGTTTTTAATTAATGCCATCATCATCAAAAATGATGATTTCAATCATCAATGATCAAACGAACCGAATCGAACGATTGTAGTATAAGATACATTTGTGGTTGCCTTCAAGGCACAATAGATAGGTACGTATCACACAGGTTCTTAATTCATAGCTAAAATTACCTTGTCATGATAATGTGATGAAATTAAAAACAGAAAAAAAAACTTTTCTTTCATCATCATATCATCATCAAATAAAAAGAGAAAACAAAAATCAGATTTTTCCTATTGTGCTAACCTGATCATATATATCATCGAACAGAAAAAAAACCAAATCAGATTCTCATCATCATCATCATTATTTTCAATTAATTGAATAATAAATCATTTGATTACGTTTGTTTATGATTCCAAATTTTTTTCTCTTATTTTTTTTTTCATTGAAGGTCATTAAAGAATTTTCATAAGAAAATCTTTACGAAAATTTACTGATAAAACTGAGTACATTCTTTTATTTTTTTTTCCATTTCAATCATCTAATTCCTAATTTTCTTGATATTACTGTAGTTATTATTCTTGAGGAAAAAAAAAATTAATCCAAAAAACTGCATTCAATGTTTTTGCTATTTTTTTTTTTTTTTTTTTGTTTGAAGTGATTAGCGAATTCTAATATTTTTTTGTTTTTGTTTCATTTATTGTGGCTTGAAAAATAGTAATAATAATAATAATAATGACCTAAATTTGCAAGCTAGTTACTTTTTATATTTGGTTTTTTTTTCGGCTGCTTCTCTTGGAATTCCATTCAATATGGAATGAGCAAACAAGAAAAAATACTTATGAACAATGTGATCTGATTCTAGTTAAATCCACAAATTGTGTACTATACCATCATTTGTGCATATAATAAGATTATCATTTTTCCTTGATTTAGATTTAGATTTTGTATATGTTCTTTTGTTTTTGTTTCGATGCTTAATTTACAAAAAAAATTGTTGCCGCAGCCGCCATCAAGACAGTTTGATGCTTAAATATAAAAGTCCATAAAATTTATTCATTTTTTTTCTTTTATTTACACAAAATGCTTCATCAATCAATCAATCAACTGAACATGGATGGTAAATTTGCCAAATTACCATCATTATAAATGGAGACCACCTTCTTTGATTATGAGAAATTTGAAAAAATAACCAGAACATCACTTAATAATTGATGGTATTTTAAATAAATGAACAAAATTCTGAATTCTGAATCTGGAATTTTTTTTTGGGATAAACATATTCAATATGTTTGTGTTTAAATCAAATCAAATTAGTAGTTGATTCTCATCAATTAATTAATTAGGCATTGTATTTGTGTTAGATAATTTCTTCATCATCATTATTATCATGATTGGAGAAAAATAAACGCCCACACACACATTTGTTTTGTGTGTATGTAGATGATTTATTCTCACAAATAAATAACAAACACAACAATAGTATAACAAAATGAATGAAAATATCGCCATAATCGATCGACAAAATAACCGTCTGATATTTGAATACAGATTTCTGTATATATACACACAGAAACATTACTTGACCAAACTTTTCATAGAAAAAAATATGCAAAAGAATCTCACTAGCACAGTGACAACCAAATAATAATAATTTTTCTATTTATGTTCAGAAAGGAAAAAAAACATTCCATTATGAATCATCATTATTTTGTTGACAAGTAAATGGAACAAAAAATAATAAAACAACATTTGACAATAAACAATAACAGTGAATATTTTGCCCAGAACAAATTAAAATGGAAAAAAAAGAGAAAATAATTAATTAATTATTTATTTAATTAGTTAATTAATATGCCTATATATGCAGTTGTAATTAACAATTTAATTAGCAAATTAGTATAGACAGCTATAGAAATATATGAGGACAAATTGTTTCGGATATATAGAACACAATGATGATGATGATGATGATGATGATAATTTTTCTTTTGCTATATTGTTTTTTGTTTTGTTTTGTTTTTTTTTTTTTGGTTACTGAATCACATTTCATTATCTTTTACTTTACATCAATGGTTTTTCAACATTTTTATGCATGCGGCTCCATAAGTTTTATCATCATCATCATCATATATACTCCATTTCAATGTGATATTTTCATTCTCTTTTCATATAGCTCCAGCAGAAAGGAGAAAAAAAATGCGCGAAATTTAAAATTCCTTTTTGGTAGTAGTCGTCTCTCTTCTTATTCATTTGTTTTTTTTTTATTTTATTTTCTCTCTTCTGTGTATAGAAGATTCTCTCATCAGTTTTTGTCTCTTTTTGTTTTTCCACTACTACCATCACTACTACTACTACTACTACTTCGTGAATTTCAATTGCATATTCCACACAAGTAGACGCTTATCAAATAGTTACATATAATTTTTTTTTTGGGGCCAACATAATCAACATCATCAACATCAAATTTGCCGCGATTACAAATTTTTCCACCACCTCTTTCATTTCATCATTATCATTCACATTTGTTGTTTAACATTGGTAGTGACAACAACAACAACAACAACAACAACGATAACAGTTCATTGAAACTATTAATTGAAATAGTGAAAGAATAATCTATTGAATAGTAGTAGACAATATAATCTAAAAAAATTGTGAACAAGATTGTGAAAAATTGTCAACAATAATCGAGCTTACCTGTTTTATATCCTGTGTGATTTGTATGAGCTTATTCATCAATCAATTCAATTAAAATGACTAATAATGATGAATATAGTGATGATGATGATTTTGATGAATTGGATTCAAAACGAATTCCAATCAAATCTCCAATAATAGTGAAAAATTCATCGATAACATCCAATCTACAAATGCCGAATTCATCCGAAACAAATGTTATTGATGATGTTGTTGATGATGATGATGATGATGCAATGATGATTTTGAATGATAAAAAACTCGAAAATAACAATAAAATTGCTATTACTAATAATACGAATAAATCCACCAATATGATGGCAACGACGACTAGACAAAATTCCACTTCATTCATGATTGATGTGCTTGTAGGCGATTCAAAATCATCATCATCATCGACAATAAAATTGTCTGATAAATCACAAATAGATGGTAAAAAATGCTCAATTAAAGATGATGATCAATCATCATCACAGACAACAACAACAACAACAACAACAGCAACAACAACGACAACATCACAATCATCATCAATGATGAATTTATCATCAATGATTAGTGATCTATTCTGGTCACAACAACAACAACAACAATGGCAATCAGAATTAAAACGTATTCAACAATTGTATTATGAAAAATTCTATACAAATTTATCATCTTCAATTATTAATCAACAACAATCACAAGATAATCAAATATCACAAAGTTCATCATCACTAGCATCATCATTTATTCCTCATTATCGATTTGGATCATCATCAGATGATAATAATGGTGACAATATAATCACTTCTAATTATAATAATGAAAATAAACAACGACAAAATCAATTATTTGCATATCATGCAAATCTATTTCTTCAACAACAACAACAACAACAACAACAACAGCAATCAAATTCTCCAATTTCATCATCATATGCTGAACTTTTATATCGTTTAGATTCATTTAAAAATTCTCATAATAATAATCATTCGATTCAATCACAAACTTTAATGAATGATTTGAAAAAAAGAAAAATTGTTACCGATAATCATAACAATGATGATGATGACGAACACGTTGAAATCGATGATGATTATGATCATGATGATGTTTGTGATTTAAATAAATTTAGTGATAATAACAATGGTGACGGAAAATATCTCAAAGTAATGAATTCATTCTGTAATAATAATAATAATAATGATATTTCAAAACAAAAAAGACAACAAAATTTACACAATTCTTCTAGTCATCAACAAAGTGATGATGAAACTAATAGAAAATTAAATAAATTATCTCAATCACCATCTTCACAGTCATCATTAACATCAAATGGACATGGAATATTATCATCATCAACTGAATTGTCTATTGTTGATTTAATGAATGAAAAAAATGTATTAAATAATAATCAGAATTCATTAAATGGTCATAATTATTACTCATCACCATCACCATCATCACCACGATCACAATCATCATCACCATACTGTGGTAAGTTTTGTGTGTGTGTGTGTGTGTGTGTGTTTGTTTAATGCATTATATTATTACCAAACACTTTGTGATTAATCAAGGTTAAATAATACAACAATCAGTTGATTGATTCAATTGGATTAATTAATTATAGATATATTGTCAAATTCATTACAGACAAAATAAAATGAAACTGATCTGGTTGATTGATTTTTTGTTTTGTTTTGTTTTGTTTTGTTTCAAAATCAATCCTATTTTCCATATATACAATTTACCAAAATCCAATATTTTTTTTGTTGTTGTTGTTATTGTTTTCTTTCATAATAGGAAATGTTGTGAAAAATTATTGGTTGTCAGGTTTTCATTTAGATTTGTTTCATTCACTTCATGTTTATTGGATTGTATTTTAATAGATCAATGATCTAATAATTTCTTTTTTGAGCAATAATTTCCATATAATAATCTTTTAAACACTTGCTCTTTCTCTCTCTCTTTTTTCAATCAATTGCACCATTTTGCAATACATCATTAGTCACCATTCACTTGGTTTTTAATCACATCATCATTTTTTTTCAATATATATGTCTCATGGAAAGAAACGATAAATATAATTTCGCCCTATTCTATATCTGATGTATCTATAGACAATCTAATAAACAACGACTAAAAAAAAAAAATAACATAAATTATGAAATGATAATAATAAATACACTAAAGTTGATATCAGCCAAAACGAAACATATATGATTATTGTGTTTTGTTTGTTTGTTTGTCAACGTTTGTTGTTTCAAAAAAAAAAAAAAAACAAACGACTAATTAGAACTGCTTCAATCATCCCACTATACAGAAAACACCGTATACATTATTTACAATTGAAACAATCTCAATCTCATCATAAATATTGAATAAATAAATAAATGGTAAATTTATAGTCAATATTGATGATTAATATTTGTATCAAAGAAACATTACATTCTTTATTAATAATATAAATATATATTGATAACAAATATTGACTTTGTCATCATCATCATCATCATCATAATTATCAAACAACAACAGCAATATATATTGATGATATTTCATCACATCAAATAACCGACATGTGTGTATTATATTTGTTTGTTTTCTATAAAATGTTTGCTATATATATATCATCATATTATTATTATTAGCACCAATTATACACATATGCCATATGGATAGTAGACCGATATATGTAGTAATTACATCATAATCATCATCATCATCATCAGTTTTTTTGTCGTCGTCATCAATTGATGATAATCGAGAATATGCCATACCATTAAATATTCGTTTTTTTTCATCATTTTTACCCATTAATATTGTTTGTTTGTATATGTTAAATAATGATGATGATGAAGAATAACTTTTGGAATATTTTTTTTTTTTGTTTTATAAACATCAACCCCTTGAATAAAATTGCAATCGAATCGTATATCGATGGTGGTTATCGTTATCATATTTCTAATAGTCTATTAATCAATTAGTCAATACAAAATTATGAAATATTGATCACCATGTTCAGCCACACAATTGAATTGAAATATGATCTAAACGAATCAAATCATGATTTTTTTTGTTTGTTTGTTTGTTTTCTAACATACATAAATATTTTTTTTTTTGTTTGTCTACAAACGATTAGTGAATACATTTTGTGTTGGCAAAAACAAAATAAATAAATACGAAAATCTATACCAATTCGTTTGATTATTACAACATTGACATGCTATTAGTCAATAGAAAAAAAGTACAGAGAAAGAGAAAAAAAAACCAAAAATAAAAAACCAATTAGATCAGATTTAATATTTGACTAATAAATTGGTTTTCACTTGAAACAACACAAGAAACCTAAGAACTTTTTTATATTTGATGTGTATTTCTAATATTTTCTCATTTTGTTTTTTTTTTTTCTTGTTTCTTCGTCATCATCCAGTGTTAATGGAACACTAAATGACTGAATAAACATAAATGAAAGAGTGAAAATGTCAATTTCATTCAAGTTAATCCAGATTCTATGGAAAGAAAAATTAAAGTGAAATTTGAACATTTCATAACATTCACATATACAGTAATACAAACACACAAATATCTAAAAATGTTAATTTCAATTCTTTTGGCCTTGAACAAAAAAAAAAAAAAAACACCTCTCTACTACTGGTTCCAGGCTTTTTTGAATTTGAAAAATTTCATTCCATTTTTGAAACAAACAAGAATGAAACAAATTGAGAGAGAAAATTTCTGTCATCAATTTCAATTCACATTATCAATTTCTAAATAAGGCCATTGTCACGATAATTAATTTCAATTATTATTATTGTCGTGCAAACAGACATAAAAAAACAATACAAGTTTGTAATTTTTGTTTTTTTTGTTGTACTTGTATTTACATTTCAACATAATTGATTCTTCATTCATTTTGTTTCAAACGGTGTATTGTAATTGATGATTAATTTTTCAATATTAAACAGCACATGAGACAGAGAAAATGTAAAATTAACAAGAAAAAAAATTTTAAATAAATGAAAAAAAAAAGAAATTCATCATTGATGATCATTGAAATGCAATTCAAATGAACATGATTAATTCTAGTTTTAGTTTGCAATTGATTTTTCTTGACTTTTTCCATTTCCTGTTATATTTTTTTTGCAGTTTGAAAAAATTGATCAACAACATATTATATTTTGATTTTTGTTGAATTTCGTCAATTTCAAGTTTCCATAGAATTTACAGTCATGTATTTTATTTTTTTTTCTAACTATTTACGATTCTACACTTAGGCAATCAATTTTCAGTAAATTTCAATTAGCTATTCCATCTGTTTTTCTGTCTCTTTAGTACAGTATCCCTCTTTCTCTTTCTCTCTCTCTCTCACTCATTCCTTCATTTTCTAATTATAAGCATAGAATGTTTTAGTTCCTGAATCACATACTCGTACACATACAAAATAAAAAAAAAATAATAGAATCAGCCAGGAAAAAAATACGATTTTAATTGAAAATAGTCAACTAAAATAGTGTAAAAAGAAGCAACAACAACAACAAAAATTCAACAAAATTAATTTAGCTAAATAATTAATGATGAATTAATTTTAATTGCCAACGCTGCTGCTGCTGCTGCTGCTGTTTCTGAAGTTGTTGTTGTTGTTGTTGTTGCTGCTGACTGCCATCATCATTATTATCCATTATTCATCGCCCATCAAATAATGAATTCATGTATACAATTTAATGATGACAATTTCAAATAATTTTATTTTTTTCATTTATTCTCTATATCTCATTTCCTTTATATACGGGGCGTCGTCCACTAATTTGATCATCAACAACGATTATGGATAATGTTGATGATAATGGTGACAATGAAAAATAAAATCCAAATAAATGTTTTGTTGTTATGTGATCATCATCATCATCACATCATCGTCATTCTGATGATGATGAGACATTCATTGCACGTTCATGGTCCTAACAAAAAAAAATAAATAATAATAATAATGATGAGTGAATAAATGAGAAAGAAATAATAAAAAAAAAGTTTTTTTTTTGTACTACTAACTAGATGGTGATGATGATCATCATGTCACTAATGACAACGACCATCCCGTTGAGTTGATGATGATGATGATGATGATGTTATAACGAATGTATTATATACATCATCATGGATGGATGGACATGTATTCAATATCCATTGGTAGATGAAAAGTAAATTTTATTCATTCATTCTCAATTTGACTAATTGTCACATACGAACGAACGAACGAACGAACGAAAAAAAAGTTCAACACACACAAATACAGCCTATGATGATGATGATGATGATGATGATAATGAGATGCCTATCAATGTTTATTAGTTGACAAATTACGTTTGGCTATATTGCGTTTTTATCACGAAAAAAAATTTTTTTTTTTTGTTCAATTTTACTTTGAAATTAATTTATTTACTACAATTTCATCATCATCATCATCATAGTGAATTGAATCGAAATTGTTATCAATTCCATTGAATTGATTCTATTTACAATTTTCAATCATAATAATGATGATGATGATGATGATTATAACGATATTTTTTTTCTTCTTCTTCTTCAATAATGAATCATTCGATGTTTCAACAAAATGATAATATAATAATAATGATTATTATTGATGATAATTAAAGAAGGAGAAAATTCTCATTATCATTACAAAAAAAAAAATCCAAACATTTTTTTAGGCTACCATTATTATTGATGATGATGATGATAATAATAATGTTGATGATGACGTTGTCGTCATCAACAAATTTATTTATTGATGATTATTATCAAAATAAATTGGAAAATTTTGTTTTTTTGTAATTTTTTTTGTTTCTTTGCAATGGTTTCGGTACATTTTTTTTCTACTAAATATCTCTCATCATATTCACATTAGATGTCAATAATAATAATAATAATGTTGATGATCGATAATCAGTGTTTCAAAATCTTCAATGTATTTAAAGATTTTCTACATTTTTTGATTATGATGATGATAATGTTTTTTTTCTGGATGTAATCCCAGTAGCTACAAATACAAAACAAAAAAAAAAGTTTGGTTATTGCACTTGAAGAAAAATACAGCCACTCACTCATAAGATTTTTGGATTATTAAATCTCTTTAATTAGTTACCTTGAGCCTTCAGGCAATTCATACATTAATTTTAATTACTAATTAAGCTTGATATCGTTCATCTCATAGACGTGTGTATATATATTCAATAATGTTGTTTATGTTTTTGGTTAAAATAAACTTGCATATGTGGTCGTGGTGGTGGTGATGGTGGTGGTGGTGGTGGTGGTGATGGTGGGTTCACACTTGATGAAAAAAGCCTTAAAAGTGTCAAATAAACCCCCCGCCACGGTTTGAGAAGCATAGAAAACAAAGTAAGAGGTATTATATTTAACTTATTTCGAACTGTGCTGCTACTTCTTAAAAAACCAAGAGGTTTATAATTTTCTCTAACCAAAAAGATTGTCGA